GAGGATGAAGAAGCAGTTCATTTGTAGGCGTCCGACCAAAAATCCATTTGCACAGCATTCATGTGGGACTCATTAGGCGGGTATGCTTATGCCTGATAACTTTTTTTTTTGTTGCTCGGCAGGATTTACTTGTTTGCACTGTATCCTTTTATTTCTTTTTCTTGGGGGCTGCTGTTAGGCTCCGTCGACAATGCAGAATACATCCCACAAGGGCAAAAAGTTGCTGAAGCTGAATATTCATGGATTTCCCTTGCTTTGCTTTTATTTTCCTTCTCGGTATCTGTGGGCGTAGGTTAAGAGACAATTTTCGGTTGCCGCACTTGAGGCTTTTGCAGCTACATAAATTAGCTGGAAATTGTTTTTGAATGTCCTCGGAGAGAGATTTCGACAATGGATTCGAAAATGGGCAGTCAATATCATTTACATCATGATTGAGAGCTTTACGAACGATTTACTCATTGTTCAAGTTTTTCACACAGGGATCATCATATTTAAAGGAGCTTAAAGTCTTCTTCGTAGCATGCCTGTAAGGCATAAGCTGTGGCCACAGCCGGCTATATATATGAGACTTTAATCGTAGCACTAGAGCTTAAGGCCAAGTTATGTAGACAGCAGGCAAGCCCAAATGGAGCAGCTCCCAAAGTAGAGTCACGCAAATGAGCAAATTGGAAAGCCAGACAGACGTTGGGCTTGGCTTTGCTCGCTTTTGGGGGTTGACCAGCAAAGGCAACCCCCAACGTGGACTGAGTCCCCCATTTACCAGCTGCAGAACAACGCCCAGTTTGAACTATTTTAATGCCTTTCGATTCCCTCGAGTCGTAGCAGTTGTGTAAATATTTCATTTGACACGCCTCCCAGCACATTTTAACTTAATTGATTCCAAATAAATAAAAAACAAAAGCTACGCTCAAAAAGCAAGCAAAAATCCATATCAAATTGTAATTTGATCTGAATTTCATGTTCGATTTGATGGCACGTGTCACTCCCACTCCAGCTCTAAATAGCCTCAGTTGTCAGTCTGTTTGCCCGGCGAAATGTCAATGCTCCATTGCATTTGTGTTCAATTTAAATTAGGATTCACATCGTGGCCTATTTGCCGGCCCGAACGTGAGCCGCATTCTGGCCAGGCCTTAAAGCGCCTCGCTAACAAATCGAATTGCAGCCAGGCAGTTAACACTCAAATACCGACGGCTCTAATGTAATGTACAAATCGCCAATTGCCGCTAATAACGGGCAAATTCTTGTTTATTAAAACAATTATGAGGACATTCAAGTGTGAAAGGAATTTAATAAACAAATTTTAGTTTTTTTTCAAATTTTGTGTGCATATAACAAAAAACCTTTCTTTAAACAACCCTAGCAACCTCTATCCAAAAACTATCTCTATAAAAGGCACACGCCTTACCGTTATTTGTATCAGCAGCTCCTTCTTTAAATACATTCTATATTTAGAGTGCAATTGCACTGAGTCATGCCATGTCTAGTCGCACGAGATCTAACTGTTTCTATTGTTTACTTCTCTTTGTGCCTGCCTTCGCATCTGTCAAGCCAGCGCAGGCCATTTGCATGCAGCAGGTAATCATCGCTTGTCACCGCACTTCCGAATACCCTCTAAATAAGTGAGTTAGCTTAAGCTGCTATATAAAGTAAACAGTACTGAATGAATACCCTGTACTAAGTAAGAACTTTAATACACGGTTAAAAATTATAAGTTTGGCTACATATGTATGTACATACATTTGGCATATACATATACTTTCTAAGACCTGACAAAAATCCCTGATTTTATTGTACATAACAAATTTACCCCACCTCACACTCTTTGCCTTCAACTACATAGCATAATAAGCCGTTATATACTACAGCTTCTGCTACGCAGTAGCGTATTCCAATTCGACGCCTTATTAGAATTCACGTTTATTCAATTGGCTATCAATTAGACTTAAATACGAAAAAAAAAAAAAAAAATAAAAATATTTAAAAAAAAATAATAAAAATATGTGAGCACCATTTTTTAAGACGTATTAATTTAAATAATTTTTAATCAAGCACATCATTGCAAATACAAACACGCACATACACATTGTATGGTTACATACATATGTACATACATACATACATATGTACATACATACATATCTACATAAATGCTTAAGTAGATACAACTCTTAAGTTCACTTTGTTAATCTCAATTTATTTGCGTGCTGGATACACAGTGCAAATTTGTTTATGCAAATAATATTCGGTAACCGAACCGAATAAACTTACCTAATTATTATGCAAAATGTCTGCAAAGCTATAGTCAGAAGCAGACACAATTTAAGCACACACACACAGACTCAAAAGTAACGTTAGAATATTGCGTGTGGTGTATGCACATATATGTATGTATGCGCTTTTGAGTATTCACCAATTTACCTTGAATATGAAGTAGAAAGTGATCTGGCAGCGCGAATAAATTAGACTAGGGTAAAACAGATGTCAAATATACATACATATACTTCATAAATACAGACTATTGCAATTTGCATTAGCCATATAAATATATGTACAGCATACAAATATATGATTGTATATATATTCAATAATGACGAATATATTCCACACGATTAACTTATTTAAAAAACAGTTTCCACCACTTAATGGCGCGTCTGTTACACCACACGCGCACAGCTGATGATATTAAGTGTATATGGTCAGCCTAAAAAGTGGCAGCACTCAAAATTTGGGCTTGATGAATATGCTATCGATACCAAAGATATTCAATCGACTTACATTTCAAATGTAAAAAAATAAACAAATGAGAAATGATTTATGAAATATACAACGAATTACTATCGAATGTCTCTTGTTTTTATTCCCGACATTAGATACACGCTGAAATAATTTCAAATAATCGGTTTGAAAAATAAGTTAATATGTTCACTCTAAATGCGCACAATACGATAGTTTGTACAATATCGATGTTTGTATACAACAAACAAGTTAAAGTAGCCGCCATGGACGAATCGTGTAAGAACTGTAAATTAAACGAAAATTAATCTCAGTTAATACATCTATATATATGCAGCAGCTGGCAGCACATTGTCTAACATGGAACAGACTGCCTCTCTGCTCAATCACAATGTTAGCTTTAACAGCAGCATGGAACTGACCCGAACTGCCGGCGAAGTCAGCACCGGGTCCATTCCCGATCTGAGCTTCTCACTGAGCGAATCCGAACGCAGGAAACTGCTGCTGCGCCAGACGCGGGCTGCCAACAGCACCATGGATCTGGTGAGTAAGGCGAACGGCAGCACAACTTTGGAGCAGAGCAGCTGGATGGAGGACGATGACGAGGAGAGTGAGAATGTGATAAGCATAGAAGACACAATGGATGAGCACCAGCACTCGAAGCAGAAGCAGCCAGAGGAGGAGGTGATTAAGGAGGAGAAGCAGCAGCAAGAGCAGCTGCAGCAGCAAGAGCAACAACAGCCACAGCTGCAACAGTCTGAAACCAAAGACGATCAGCAAATGGAGACGGATGAGCTGCAGCAGGAGCAGCAGAAGGCGCAGCTAGAGAAAATGAAGGAGCAGCTCCAGTATGTCAACATTTCTCCACCCCCAGTTTACTTCGAGCGGCAGCTCATCGAGCTGGGTCGCCGCTGCTGGCCGTCGAGCGCGCAGGCACAGCATTATACAAAAGGTTGCTATTGGTCGCCGGATGGCACATGCCTGCTGGTGCCTGTCCACCTGGACGGCATGCATGTTATGGAGCTGCCATTGGATCTGTATGAAGCCAGCAACATCTCTACAGAGCGCAGCCTGTCCAAAATGCAGTCGGCTGTCCATGTACCCGAAGGCGGCACCGTCTACGACTGTGTCTGGTATCCCCTAATGAACAGCCAAGAGCCGGAGAGTTGCTTGTGAGTAGACTGACTTTATATAGATGCAGGGCATTCTCTCTTAACAGAGAGAAATGCTTAACAGTGCTAACTGCAGTGAGTGCTTTTATAGCTTACAAGACACTGCAGTTATTAACAGTGAATGTTAGTTTAACATAAGCGCTGTTAGGAACAGTGCGCGGGCTTATTTCAAAACGAAATCCAAATCTTAACTTGAAAAAATTCAATTTCTATTGATTACTCACGTTTAATATGGTTTCACTTGTTGTTCACCCTCTGCTCTTCCAGCTGGCTAGCCACACGTCAACACGAACCGATACACATGTGGGATGCCTTTGATGGACGCTTGCGCTGCAGCTACAGCGGCTACGATGAGGTTGATGAAGTGGTGGCTGCCATATCTCTGCAATTTGCCAACGACGGACAGAAGATATATGCGGGCTACAAGCGCTGCATTAAAATCTTCGACACCAGTCGACCGGGTCGCAGATACGACGAATACCCTGTAAAGTTTGCCATCTCGTGCATGGCTCAGAATGCGGAGTATCCGCACACAGTGACCTGCGGCAACTGGCGGGGCTACATACAGCACTTCGATCTCCGCTGTCCCCCCAAGCAGGGTCCACTGTTCACGCTGGGCGGCCACTCAGCAGGCATCACCCAACTGCGCTACGGCACAGACGACTCCAACAGCTGGCAGCTGTTCAGTGGCGCTCGCAAGTGCCCAAAGCTGCTACAGTGGGACATGCGCAACTATAATCAGCCTATGCATGAATTCCAGCGTCAGGTCAACACCAATCAGCGCATCCAGTTCGATCTGTGTCCGCAGCAATCCTGGCTAGCTAGTGGCGACACGGACGGCAACCTCAATCTGTGGAATCTCGCGGATGGCGAGGAAATCGAGGCCCTCCAGTTGCCTCTGCATGATGATTGCTGCAATGGCATCGGTTTTCATCCCAGCCTGCCCATCCTGGCCAGTAGTTCTGGCCAGTATCATTTCATAGCAGGCGACAAGCAGCAGCAGGAGGTGCACAACAATACAACTGTTGCAGGCTCTCAGGACTCAACGCTGTTGGAAGCAAAGTCTTCGGTTTCCTATGAGAATGCCGTATTGTTGCTCTGGTGCGGTCCCAGCACTGAAAATTAAATTATATATACTTAAAATATAGTTTTTTGTTAACAATTACTTACGCAAAAGTGTGATTCGTTCTATTACTAAGCAACTTCAATGTCAGATCAGACTTTCTGTTATGCGATAACAGCATGAGAGACTGCTAAGTCACGCAAGTTCACTTTTCATGCGGTTTTCAAGCTTATTTACAAATACTGCTTGGCTTGTGCTGTTCACTCAGACTGCCGCTGCTTTCTTAACCTGCGCTACTCACTAAGTTTCGTATACACACTGCACTGCTCGCTCAGCTTGCGCTGTCCGTTCAGCCTGCACTGCTTAAGCACACTGCGTTCCTTACTTAGTTTGCACTGCTCACTCAGTATGCACGCTCTCTCCACTCAGAATGTTGCGCTCACTCAGCGGGCATTGCTCACTCTCGCTGCACTGCTTACTCAGCCTGCACTGCTCAATGAGCCTGAACTGTTCGCTCAGCCCTCACTGCTCACTCAGCACGCATGTTCTGTCTACACTGCGCACTCACAATTGAGTGATAGTGTCTGTGTCTTTTAACAGTGCTGCGCACTCAGACTGCATGCAGTCTCTCTACACTCATTGCACTGCACTGCTCATACTCATATGACCTGCACAACTCAGCACCTACCTTTTCACTCATTGCTTTGCTCGTGCTCGTGAATTTCTGTTAAATCTGGTTTCTCTTCGAGTTTCATATTTGTAGACAATGCAATCGGATCTCTAAATCATTCTACATCGAGTGCTCGACCGAGGCAGTAAATTTTTGTATTTGATATATTTCCTGCCATAATTTGTTATATGTATTTATGTAAATACATCGAGGGAGCAAAACCCGACAGAACACAAACGACACATGTCCGACTAACAGAACTGTTAAATAATATCAGCAACTGTTAACGAAACTCGAACTCTGCCAATAACAGAACGCGGGCCAATTTTAAATCAAATCAAAGTCAAAGCGTTGACCAATTATAAATATTTCAATTTATTTTAATTACGCACTCTTTATTATACATTCATTATTAGAATTTACTTATCGTTCAATTAATCAAGTCAACTTCATGTTTTAAAAGTAATGCGGGAACGTAAAAAAGTGTATTTTGTTTTTGTTTATATGTAGCATAGGCTGCTTTAAGAGAACATTTATTTATTTGATTGAGAAAACGTTTCTGTTGCGTTTGTCTCTCATACAAAATGAAGTTTTTGTTTAGCTTTTTACTTATTTCGTTGGTTATTGGTGTTGATTATACATTAATATATATGTATATATATATAGTATATATCATAAATTGAGTATATATCGAAGCGTTTTTATCAATTGTATTGATCTTTGCATTGTTAAAGAGTATTCAGAGTGTCGCTTTGTGTGGTCTGTGCGTGTTCTTTGTTTGTTTATGTTTATTGTAGCTGATGTATAATAGTTATAGACACATAACATTATGTGAATTTAAATTTAAGCTAATTGTTTTAGTTTTTATTTGCTTGCAAATAAGTGCGAAACTTGCCAAGAAATGAAAAAACATTCAAATACATTTGAAATTTCCCACATTTTCAATTCCCAACTTGAAAAAATTTCCCAACCCAATAAATTTGCATTTTTAAACCATTTCTTGATTTTGTTCTAAATATAACTTGACGTTAGACAAAATATGCATTTGATTTTTTTTTATATATATTTACTTTAGTTACTATATAGATTTATTTATATATATATAGATTTATTTATTATATATATATATCCATGTTTTGTTTTTTTTTTAATGCCTAAAATGTTTTTTTTTTTTTTTTTTTTAAAAAAAAAAAAAAAATTTTTGTTTTTTTTTTTTTTTTTTTTTTTTTTGGTTTTTGTTTTATATATATATTTTAGTTACTATATAGATTTATTTATATATATATATAGATTTATTTATTCATTATATATATATATATCCATGTTTTGTTATGCCTAAAATGTTTTTTTTTTTTTTTTGTGTCAAATGAAACGAAAAAGTTTGTGTTTTTTGTTTTACTTTGTATTGTTTTTTTTTTATTATTTATATTTAAGCATTTCTTATGTATTTTTCTGTTTGACATTATATATAGATAGAAAATGCGAACTTATATTAAAATAAAAAATGGTGTTAGTTTTTTTTTCGTTTTTTTTTTTAACTCTCATAATTGTTAATAAGGAATTAATATTAAATTATATCATATATTTATCTTTTTTTTTGCATTTTTGTTTGTTAAGCAAAAGCATATGAGAAAACGACAGGCAAATCGTATGGCATTTTCTATTGTTTGAATTATTCTTTGTTTTTTTTTTTTTAGGAAAATGCTCTGCAAATTAGTCGGAAAATACACTTGATATTATTATTTGATGTATGTATATATATAAATGTGTATATATATTCACTATAAGCATGGCATTTAATTTGAATTACATTTTGTTTTATTTGTATCAAAACTAAAGATCAAACTTGAAAACAATTTAAAATCAATTACAATTTAAAAGAGAAATCATGAATTTCAATTATGTTTAGTATTTTGACAATAATTTAAGTATATGATTTTGTTTATGTTTGTTTCTTATTGTAATTGTATTTTGTTTATGATTTTTCTTGTTGTAAATTTGCTTTATTAAATGTATTTTTGTTTATTAATTTGCAGCTTGCAATTTTTTTCTTCTCTTTTGTTGGGTAGTGTAATGTTGAGAGTGTTGTTGTTATTTTTTACCTGCGCGCTGCCTTTTGCTCAGCGAAAAATGTATTTTTTGTTAGAAATTTTTGTTTCATTTTATAATACTTGAAATTTTTTTCGAAGCAAGTTTCTGATTTGCTTGCTAAAATATGTGTGTGTGTGTGTGTTATGTATGTGTGTTGAGTGTTGGGGACGCTCTTTCTCTCTCTTGCCCCAGGCCAAGCCAGAGCAAGTTTTCCTTTTAAGCAGCCTTTGCCCTCGAGCCGCCTTAACCCGACGAGGCAATGGGACTCTGCTGTCCTTCCATATCCTGAGTCTGAGCCTTGTTCTGACGCACTACCTCAGCGCGACGTTCCTGCAACAGACATGCGAAAGAAGAAGATGAATTAAGCGAATTCTAAACAAATTACAGGGTATAGGAATGTGTGAGCAACTGCTACAAATGAACGGCAGGCAAACAATACAAACGTATAAAAGCATTTCAATATTATATATATATATACTATATAGAGGTATATATATATATGTATATGTATAGCTGTGTAGTGTAATATTGAATGGTGTTTTTGCTGTTGGGGAGACCTACAAGTTTCTGAGCTTTCTCAATTTTTTTGAGCAACTCCTTTTCGCGATTCTGCTCGGCGGTGTATAATTTGTTTTCGATAATGCGCGCTTTCTCCTCGAGCTTTTGATTTTCCAATTGATTGTTCTGCGTTTTGATTTCAGCAATTTTGATTGTGTTCTTAAATGAGAGAGAGAAAGAGAAAGAGAGATTCCAAAAATAAATCAAGAAAAATAAATATCAAAAATTATATCGATGGATGGAAACGTAAAATTTCACAAAAACACTTTTACTACGCACAGACGACATTTAAGGATTT